TTATTATTATATATATATATATATATATATATATATATATATATATATATATATACAGAAAGATTTAAAAATAGATTGTGAATGGATTGGAATGGAATTAAAGGATGTAAAACATCCATATTAGATTAAAATCGAAATGCATGAAAGAAACTACGAAAGGAATGAAAAAACACGCATTTCAGGCATGGTTGATTAAGTTTCAGTCTTAAAACTTTATATAGCATTAAATATCAACGAATTTTGCATTTGATGGAATGCAAAAAATTTATTTTATTGTGAAATAATCAAATTCAATTGCTATCAAAAGTTTTAGAAGTGAGTGAGTGAATGAATGATATCAATATTATATAATACTTTTATGAAGTAAATTGTGAAGAAATTATTGCTGGGAATGAATGAACAAAATATTACTTGAATAGATATGGATTTTCCTTGTCATTTGAATTTAAATTTACTAAATCAAATGACTTTGGATCACAGCTTTTATTAAACGCATCATTTAATTGTTTTTAAATTTGGTGTGTTATAGATATAATTAAGTTTATAGCTTGATAATGCTAAGATAAAATAATGCTAATGCTAAGATAATGCTAAGATAAAATTGGCTATCATTTTCCTACATTCCATTTGTCCTGCTAAAAAAATTGCATTGTGAAGATCAATTAATATTCAAAACTTGTAATACTTTTTTTTCAAGAAAAAATTGAAAAAAGATCAATTTCAAATCAGTATGTTTAGAATTTAGGTTGCTTTCTTACTTTCCTCTTTTATCAAATTTGTATTGTAAATGTTCTCTAAAATATTACTCAAAATAACTTCGCTGACAATCTTAATTTATTATAATTAAATTACTGAAGCATACTGAAGCAAATTTATTCGTAAATTCTACGTGTTAAAGATTTGTGACAGAAATATACTACATTAAAATGAACTTATGCAGATTTGGCTATCAAGTTGAAATTAGTTTTATAAACTGAAAATAGATTTTAAAAATTGAAATTTAATTTATATAAATTGAAATTTGATGATGAAGGGTAAAAGCTAACGATATTTCCTTTCCTTTATTTATCTCCTTTCCTTTTTAAAAAAATTAATTGCAGTTTAATTAATGCAACTTATCGTCATCATCCACTTTATTTATTATAACCTGTTCTGCACTGACTCTAAACTAAGAAATTTTTGCAGTTTCAAAGGCTTTCTAATCATATCTATATTTATCCATTCCTTCTTGGCTTTTAAAGGTTCCTCGGTTTGACCAATGCAGTTCCACCATAACATACACGTCCTCTTCGTCCATTATCACTAATCAAAATTTCTAAAACAATATAAAATGATGCGAACAGGAACCGCGGAAGGATTGAATTAGCCCAACTGGCAGGATTTACCACAGAGCCACTGGTCAATTGATTGACCGTCCTTCCCTCATCTTATTTCAACTTTTAATAGGTAACTACCATGAATATTTGTTAAATGTTTTCCATTTCATATCCGAAATCTGTAGGATTTGTGAAAAGGGAGAGAATAGGTAAAACTATAATTACTTAGCAAAAAATAAGACTTGAAGATTACTTGAACTTCCTCCGAATTTTTAAATTATGTTTTAATTTTTCAATTTGAGCAATCGTCCAATCAAAATTCATCAAAAACATAAAATGTTAATTTTTTTCTGCAAATCTTGATTAATTGCCTACATTATTTGTTATTTATCCATCTTTCCTGCTGATTTATCACTAATTATCAACTAATTTGAAATGTATAATTGTATGAAATTTGAATTTATGGATTTAATATATTAAAGTGTAAATGAAATAAACTGATGAATCGTTGTGTTTCCATGCGAGCATTTTGCTTGGAAAATGAGTGGGAAGTATGATAATACATGAAATGATAAGATATAATGTGATAAATATAAAAGGAAAGACTCAACTATGCGTAGACTCGGTTAACCACGAAAGCAATATATGGAACAATACAATATGATCAAAGCTCCCAGTTCAACGCCGATGGTCAAATGCTTCTTACAGGTAAAATCTCTATCCTGAATTGATGATCTGAACATTTTCAAACTCCTTTAATACCAACCGTGTACTCCAAGGCTCAATAATTCAGTACATTATAAAACAACGATGAAAAACAAATTGGATAGAGAGCCCCCACTACAGAAAAACTCTTAAGGACATATAGTAGATGGAAACTAGCAAAACAGCTAAGGTTGATGGAATTTCATCTGAGGTCTAAAAGCATGAATACCTATGCATGCTCAATGCTTAATTCCATGAGATCATTGTATGTTGCTGGGAAAAGAATGAACTACTATCAGATCTTCATGATGCAGTCATCATCAATCTGTACAAGAAAAGGAGGCTTGAGCTATAACTCTGCTCTTCACTGTTAGTAAAATTCTTGCAAGAATACTTTTAAACATATTGGTATTGTTATCGTAAAACTTTTACCTGGAAATCAAGATGCTTATCAGAGCCAATAATATACTGGACATGGTATTTATTCTCAGAGAATTGCAAAAGAAATTTAGCAAAACAAAACAAAGAAATCTATACAATCCTCGTAAACTTCATCAAAGCTTTTGGTACTGTAAGTAGAAAATATCCGTGGTAGGTCATGGAACGATTTCGTAATCTGTCATCGTGTTACAGGGAGGATCAACTTGATCAAACCATATATGGCCGATCAAACCATATATGGCCGATGCATACCCCAAAGCTTTCCCAATAATTAATGGTGGGAAAGAAGATTGCATTCTAGCATCAACTCTGTTCATGATGTTCTTCAGCATGATGTTTCAAAGAGTTATGGTAGACCGTTTAGTATCGTATCGATGAAAGCTTGTTTAATCGAAAACAACTGAAGGCCTAAAACTAAAACCCTAAATTACTGTAATATATACAAAAATATATACAAAAGTATATAGACTAAATTGATAATCATTAGAAACAATTAAACCAGCATAAAATTTAGTAAGTTTTATGTAATGGCTGGGAATACTACGACAAATCCATTGACATGAAAATAATTTAAAATGTGGATTGATGCCATACTGTAAATTGACGATATAATATATATACGGTAAATTGAAAATGTAAATTGACGCCATACTCACGTTAATATTGAAGGGCAATATTGATAGAAGTGATATATTTAAATGTGTTATGTTCGAAGAAATTTTGCATAATTCATCCATAATACACATTCGCATACATCAAATGGCTGTCGTATTAAAATGAAATGTAATTAATCAATCTAAATTAAAATTGAAAAATAAAAAATATCCTTGCCGAAATTTAGACAAGCCATTCAAAAACAATATTAGTTGTATGTTTTTATTTTTAAAACAAAAAGTGAAATAGCCATTTATGCTAGATTGTTCGGAAAAAAATGACTAGAAGAAATTTCATCTTATTCAAAATAACTTATTCGTAGATTTAGTAATAACTTTTTTCAACTCTTTTTTTATTGCTTTATAAAATTTTGATGACAAAGAAAATGAAATGACTTTTCATTTGGAACTTTTTGTATTAATTAACTAACTATTTCAAATTATAATTAATGAAAATTTTATTATTCGTCATATTTATTTTGCAAAGAATTTAAGGAATATATTCAAAATTCTTTTTTAGAAAAGAAGTGGGAAAATCTTTTTCAGATATACAAACATTCCATTGCAATCATTTTTTTTTTTAGGATCACATTTTTTTCAATTTTTTCTTTTTTTTGGTATTCAAGCAAAAAAAAAGAAATGTAATAAACAAAAAGTGGAAACTGAAAATGTATTATTAATATATGACTGAGAAAGAGTTAAAAAACTTTTTAAAACTTTTATCTTTCTTTCGATGCTTTTAGAATTTCAATCAGTTTTTTTTTTTTAATTTCATTTTATTACAGCTTTTTTTGTATGATTCGCCTTTTTCGATAATTAGGTCCTATCCTGTTTTTTCCAAAAAATTTTTTTTTTCAAATTATATTTATATTACATCGAAATTATATTCCATCCGTATTGTATACAATATATGTTGTGTCATGTTTACATTATATTCTCTTCCTGGTTAAATTATCTCTTAGCAAGGAAAAAAAATCTGCAAAATAATTATGCAAAATTTCTCGTAATTTTATCGAAATAAAATAAAAGTTTGGAAATAATCAAATTCGCTTGTTTTTATATATTTGCCATAAATTTTTAGCAGGTAAAAATTGTTGATAACAGATATCTGAATAGTTTTTTTTTCTTTTCTCGAAGCTGAAAAGTATCATTAAAACGATATTATGAATGGGTCTATGAAGATATGCAAAAATTTATGATAGATAAGATTTGATATCAAAAAATTAAAACTTTGAAGAAAGCACAAATTGTTTAATTAATTCAATTTAAAATCCGAACTACAGAAATTTATTTATAGAAAAAGTGAATAAAATTTCTCGTTCTCCTCATTTCAAATTAAAATAATTGAGCAGTTCGTATAGCATATGAATAACAATAAAAATTAAGCTGGTGGTTTATATAATGTTTAATAGCCTGGCAAATAAAGTTTTTTTTTCAATTTCTTTTAATGAACATTAGCAAATGTGCTTTTCAAGTAATTTCAATTTGAGAAATGCTAGTAAAGTTGGTAATCAAGACATCTTATCTTATCAGTAATGATGACAACTTAGTCTATAGCTTACTTAATCAACCGTAATGAAAATAGTTGTAAATTTATAATAAATTCCAAATACATATTCAACATTGTTGAAAAGATGGAAAGTTGTCAACAAGCAAAAATATAAATGCATAAAATTATTAAGTGAACAAATTGTACTAAAGTGGGAATACTTTAAAGGAATAAATTAGTTTCAGTGGATGAATAATTTAAGTATTTCATTTAGTATTATCATATTGGAAGAGGTAAAATAGGGAAAAATCCCTTTCCTTTCTCTGTGATATGTTTTTATTATTTGCTAATATTAAAATGGATTACAATAATAATACAATACCATATATTCAAAAAATTTCACTCATATTTTGTCATAATTTTATCGGTTCAGAATTTTTTGTTTTTAGAAATGCAATAATTTGGACTTGAGATAATGTAGTATATAACTAATTAATTGTCGTGCAAAATAATCATAAAGAAAATTTATGATTCGAATTATTTCATTTGACCTGCAGATAATAAGTGTTTAAGAGAGCAATAATAGTTTTGCATTCAAATTCAGAACTATGAATTTCAAATAAATAGTCAATAAGCAGTTTAATAAAAGGTCAACTTGTTGCACAGTGTAAATAATATCGTGGATCCACATATTAATTCTTTTTTTTATTCCTTACATTTATTTACTGTCATTTGATGTGACAATTGTATGAAGTGAAATTCTTTTATAAAATTGTCATAAACGAGATGCGGTTAAAACTTGGATAACGTGATCAATATTGCGTCGTCAAAAGGTCATGTTTTGCTTATTCTCTATTTGCTGTAACAGCAGTAACTACAAGTTGTATGTTGTACGATAAATTACCGTGTAGTGATAGTATGTTGATGGTAAATGTTAATGATTTGCTTGATTATTTGATAGCACCACTAACTGGCATTAATAAAATAAAAGCTTTATGAGCTATTTTAAAATGCTAACAAAAATACACATGATTGTGATATTCATAAACATGGAAATCGTTAAATTTTGCATGAAATTCAGATTGAATTTGAAAATAATGGATAAATTTAAAGTGATGTATATTTCATTAATAATATTGGTGGATATGAAATTCATTTGATTTTTTAGTGAAATTAAAAATGATTGTTTTGCTTATAGCTTTTATTATGAATGATATGAAAAATTGGTAAAAAGTAACAAATGAAAATGGAAAAAAATTAATTAACAAAACAATGAAAAAAAATATTATTTGAACAGTTGATCATTTTGAATTTATATTTATAGTTTCATATAGTAGCATGTTGCAATTGATTAAGGCAAATAGCAATTGTTCGAGCATTTAATTCCGTTTCCTCAACCGGTTCTGCGTTTTCTACAACCGGTAACATAGCTGCAGGATAGAGTATTCGCGGATCATCGGATATATCTGGTGGTGCTGGTGCGAGATCTTCCAATGAAACGATTCTTTTGCGACTTTCGCTGGAAAAAAAAGCGATACTAAAAAACTACTTTGTCGGAAGATATGCAAATATTAACTGAAAATTGATACAATCATTAAATATATTTCGCCAAAAATGTTTATCAGTAATAATTAAGAATTAAATAATTGAATAGATTGTTAAAATGCAAACGTTCTCTTGCAGCAAAAGAATGTAATAATTATGCATAATGTTGAACAAATATGTGCTATAAATGGTGAAAAACGTAGAATTTCACGTCCCACAGCTCCATCAACAAGTTCTGTTAAAGTATGTTATGTACATGAATTAATTAATTAGTAAATAATTAAGTCGAATAAGATTGTACAAATTTTTGAACTTAACAAATTTTTTACAAATATAAATTCAACAAAGTAAAGAAATCAATATATTATGTAAAAATCAATACTGTTTAATCATATTTCTTAAAGAACAAACTTATAATATATCATTTTATTTGGAAATCGAAAGTATCATATATGAAGAATAAATTATTTGATGATAATAACTCAATTCTTGGTATTTTTGAACAATTTCTTAATTATTATTAAAACTTTTTCGCGCAGTTTTCTTATTCCTTCTACTATTTTCAGTAATGTATTGTATAATGTATTATGCCATGAATATGAAATTAATTGGTAAATAATTAAACCAGTAACTAATTAAATCAAAATTGATGAAGTTTCCCATACATTTCCCATGCTAGTTGCATTATTTTTTTCTTTTTTTTATAATTACGCAAATACGTACGTTTAAACTAAACTTTAAATAAGTATTCTAATTTTTTTTCCTGCCATTCTTTTTCTTTACTTATTTCATTGATCAACATTTTATAATATTTCATTCATTATCATTCATTAATATAATTTGAAATAATAATAAAATATTTGATATTATAATGAAATATTAATATTATAATGAAATATTACCAGTACAAAATTCTCCTGTATATTGTAAAATACAATTGCATTTCAAATATTTCAAAAGTGGTGCATTAGGAAATGTATCAATTGTACAACCACCATAAAGACATGGATTCATAACATTACGGTATGATGTTAGATCACGTTCTTCATCACAATCTTGCACATCTATAATAAATTATTGTATTTCAATCAATTTGATAAATTACTGAGTGATATTTTTTGGTAAATAATTTTAATTTTATCAATTTTAAGTCAATAACTTTTAATAATTACAAGTTAAAGTTTTGCACACATAAAGTAATTCTTCGTTGCATTACTCCCCATAAAATTATTTATAGATAAATTGTAAAATTTCAAATTAGCTCAAATCTTAAATTTTTCCAAAATAATTTTTTTAAATTTTGATATTAAGAGTGATTCTTTAATTACATCAGACAATCATGAATGATCATAATTAAAGTGTAAATGTGAAGATTGGTTTCATCATTCTAGCATCTTATCAGTTATTAGTAATCAGTCGAAAGTAATTGATAAGTATTACAATTTGTAATTCTTTCATCCATTTGGCTTATCCAATTAAGATTGTTTGTTGATAAGTACATGTACGTGATATATCGTGTACTTATCTGTCTTCCATGTATGAAACTATGTATATTTTAGTATTTCTTATAGATGAATTATTCTATTAAAATTAAAATTATTCATGTACAATGTCTCTTGGTGATAACAGTTTTGTATCTTATATTAGCCAATGACAACTAGCGAACGATATATTGACCAACGACGACTGAATGCTCTAATTATTTTTTAATTTCAATTTTTGTCACAGAAGAGAATATCGACTTTCAAAATTCAAAGATTCGATTTTTGATCAAATAATTTAAATTCTTGTTTTATTATTTGTCATTATTTCATAACACTTACAAAGATTAATTCGTGAAACCCATTCGACGCTTTCAGTTAAACCTACGTGACAATCATAGATACCTTCGTTTTCCTTTTGTGCCGTATAAAGAATAAGGTGGCCATCTGTTTTATTGAAGGAGAATCGACTTAAAATACGAAATAAATTTTAAAAATATGTGCAAAAGTGGAGAAAATTACGAGAAAAAAAGTTTTCGTATAATGAAGAGGCCAATGATTAAGGCTAGTGAATTGAAAAGTATAAAAGATGGAATTTTTAATCATTAAATTTTTAAAAAATATAAACAATCAACCTCAAAAGGTAGCAAATATGAGATCAAAAGAATATAATTTGAAGAAAATTTTGCAAGATATAACCATTAAATATAAAATAGTAAATGTTTTAAAATCTTTGAAATTAAATTTCTCAAAAATAATTTTTGTCCGGCATAGAAATTGTCACTAATATGTTTCTTGTTATCGAATTACCTGTTATAATTATCGAGAGGTATACTACGTTGTTCCTGAACATCACGAAATACCCATTTTATTCTTTTATTCTGGCTGTCATAATTAACTCCAGCTGAACTCCAAGATACACAATTGAGTATGATATGATGTCCCATCGGTACGTAACGTGTTATCTCGTCAGTTTTCACGATTGGCATCGAAGTATTCACGTCATTCACAAATACAGATTGTGGTTCTGTGATGGAAAATTGGGAAAAAAAAAGATAAAAATGAAGGTATAAAAAAAGGTGAAAGAAAAAAAAAGCCTCACTCCCTGCGGGTCGTACTGAGCGCCGACGACCCCTGAAAATGGCCAGCATGGAGTGGAGGGATCGAAGCTTGGCGAGGCTACAGGGAAGGCCAGCATTAGTGCTCTATACGGCTGTGGCAAAGATCGAACTAGGTGTTATTTTCAAGAAAGGGCTTATATTAAGCCCTTCCCTGATAATGTTATTAGGGCCTATTTTCAGAGGATGATTTGTTTTTGGGAAAACACAGATGTGATACTCTCTGATATTACAATATCTGATTGCTTAAGTTGCTATAACTATAATATACTTAGAAATGTGATTATATGAATTATAATAAAATATTTTTGGTATAGCAAATGATAGGATCAATAATTATAATTTAAACAACAATAATGGTAATTTAAACAACGATAATGATAATTTAAGTAACAATAATGGTAATTTAAACAACAATAATGGTAATTCTTGCAGTTGTATTTTGTGCTCAATTTTATTTCAAAATTATTAATTATTTTAAACGAAATCATTCAGATGGATAGCATGATGATTTAAACTGAAGAAACTGCTTAATACTAAAAGTTAAGTTTAGATTAACTGATATATTAGATGTAAAACTTTCTGTGTGGAAGATTACAACATTATAAAAAATTTTAGTATTTCATACTTTTTGGAAAATTTATGCGAAATTTTTTTTGCATTTCAAAGAAGAAACTGATAAGTGTACAGATTTTTGCGAAAAAGAAAAAAATGACAAAAATGTATTGATTTATTAATTATGACTATCTTTAATTAATTAAGGATAGTTTAAAAAATCATAAATTAATTTCTGATCAATAATTCCAGTTGAGTATTTGCTACTAAATAAATAATTTATGAAAACGATATAAAGCTAATAGACTATCATTTATATTTACAGAATGTTATATCGAAAAGTTCGCTAAAAAGGAATCTTTAGTGACTTTTCAATCATATGTGTCTTTCAAAAGAGTACCTGTATTCATAATATATTATCAGAGATTTTAGTAAATGTAAATTTTGTTTTTAATTTTTTAAAAGTGTTAACTATTTTTAAATATTTTTAAACTATTGTAAAATCAATAGAAGGTAAGACGTAATCGTACCAAAAACGATATCATTAAACGATTCACAAATTGTTGTAAGAATGAAAACCACTGATAAGTGCCACATATTCATGCAACATTTAAATGATTTGGAATTAAATTTTCAATTATTTCTTTTTGTATAACCGATATCGGCATATTTACATATAGCGTACAAATATGTAAAAAAATCGAAATTAAATGCTTGAAAGCTTAAAAATAAAATAATTCAAAAAGTTTGTTAATATGTTAACTAATAATTTGTTAATATATTGACTTGATAACTTCATGAAATGAATCAGTTAATTTTAATATTTCGTTACAAATCAATGTTTAAGGATCATACCAGACAATTCAATCTTAAGTTTAAATAAATATTTTTATTCTATATTTAAACAAATATTTTAATGTTCTAAATTTGGTTGGCTAAATTTTTATAATCTTTTTGCCAAGAATTTTAAATGGTGGTGTCAAGTCGATGTTATCACTTCACTAATTCCTAATACTTATACCGTAACGCTTCAATTAAATAGAAAGTTGCAACAACGAAAATACGGTCTTGCAACGATCTTCGGAATGCCGTCAGCATTGTTTCCCAGTTAGGTTGAGGCGCGCATTGCGCGAGGTTATCGTGGTTACGCGATTTCGTAAAAGGTCTCAACTTTTTCCGCTCCGGATCGTATCATCATGTTATATCAGAAATGGAGTATTTCCATATGATATCTTGGAGGTGTGATGACTTTTTCCGACTTAAACAGTCTCATCAGTGTATTGAAAATCTGTATTCTTCGCCCCATATTCTGAAGTTTCGGATTGAACGATCTCATATTTAGCTTGCTTTTTGTCGGTGTTCTTTTTGTCTTCCAAATTCGATTGATCGGTATCATTTTATCAGTAATGTGGTTCACTTCTTGCTAAATCTAAAAAATTCCGGATAAAGTTGTCTTTAATAATAATGTAATGAAAAAATGAGGTTTTCTTTTTTCTTGTAGTACTTTTTTCTTATAGTTTCTTTTTTCCTATAGTAGTTTCTTATAGTATTTGAGTATTTCTTACAGTATTCTTTTTTCTTACAGTATCCTGAGAGTCTCAGTTCTTAGATGTTAAAGAATCCATTCTTTGTACTTATACATTGTCAAGATTTTCCAGCGGATTACTTATTTATTCACTTTGACTTCTTTGTTTGTATTCTTAATTTATTTCGTTTCTTTCTGTTAGCAGCAATTTGAATCAAAAAAATTTCGCCAGAATATTTTCAAGATATAGAATGGCAAAATGTCCAAGAGGAGATTTCGTAATTGATGAAGTATGGCTTGCGAAAAAGATAAATGATGTAATCGTTGATAAGGACGATCAGTGGCGAATCAAATTGTTCAATGATATCATATCTGAGATAGGCGAAAATTTCAAGTACAAAACAATTTTCACAGTTGGACCGGCAAAAACACCTACGGAAGGTATATCCAATTATTGCTAAGACGATGAAATAGCGTGATTGCTATTCTAATAAGATAGGATCTCTCAAATATTGTTTCTCATGATATTAAAAAGAAAAAGTTATTTTCCATCAGAGTGAGTGCAAAGGTTATTTTGAATTGAATGACATACACGGTTTTTTTACACGGTGGTGTGAAAAAGTGCTCTCAAGAGACTAAAATGATTAAATACTATTCGTAATGATGCCCCAGCATTTCTGGCTAATATCTATCATCTTGATAACTTTTCTATTTTAGATGTCGATAGTCGGGCGGTAACACAGAGAAGTAGTGATTTAGGGAACAAATTAACAGTTTCAAGAAATCCGAAAGAGAATGAAAAAAGCGATACAAATGATGAAACGACATCAACGTTAATCCGAAACTTGAAGTTAGGTAAAGCGACGGATAATTGCGCATCATTAAATGACAGGTATGTCACAAGTTTTCTGAAATTATTTGATTTTAGCAGAGTCGATAGTGACACATCTGCTTTTGTGGGACTTTGTATGTTCAGCCTAAAAAGGACTAATGACACTAACCGTTAATGTTTAAATTATTCAGTACTAGATTATTGGTCAGGAAAAGATTACCTTTTTCCTTGCAGGGAAATATTGCAGCTATTAAATTTTGGGCATTTAAAACAACGAGATCTAGAACAAAAATTAAGTAACGACTTTTTCCGTGCTGTTTCATTGCGAAGGTCACATTTCTGTGAGACCGCTAATATATCACTCCAGAATCTGCCGTTTCAGCAGTATGACTACAGTTATGTAAGTGCCCTTTTGTTACCAAGACTCTTTTGTCATTCATAATTTCTTTTCTTTTCTTTAAAAAGTTCAATCGAATTGTTATGTTGTAGGTGAACGGATCATGCTGCGAAAATGTCATTGGTTATGTTCCGGTACCGACGGGAATTGTTGGGCCGTTATTGATGAATGGACGTAAATATTTTGTACCAATGTCTACAACGGAAGGTGCTCTTATCGCTAGTACCAACCGTGGTTGTCGTGCAGTTTTCGTGAGTTAATTAACTTGAAAAAATTTCTGAAAATGTCGAGGGTATTTGTGTTACATTTTTTTAAATTGATTTCAAGTGAAACAAATGATTCATCGCAGGAATCTGGTGGTATCACGGTTCGTATATATAGGGATGGAATGACGCGTGCGCCTGTTGTTCAGTTTGCAAATGTCGCCAGAACGCTGTAAGCTTATGAGATCTTAGTGATCTTGGTGACTATAAAGATCAGTGATCAGTTCTGTTTTCATAGCAGGTCGTCAAAGATGCAGCGGTGATGCATTGTTATAATACATTGCTTATCCACGCGATGATTACTGACCTTAGATTATTTGCGAGAGAGATCGTTAACTTATTCTCCGTGTAATCCTTTTAAGCGGTGTAACGCATTGCAAAAATGACATTCTCTTGACCATGAATTAAAAAGAAGACTTTGGCCTCTTTCATATCTTTTTTCATTATTGTAGGATTAATTGAATTTTATGAAAAGAGCATTTATGCCAAATCCTTAAATATAATTCCTTGCAACTGTAGATTGCACTTCATTTGTTCCCATACTGGTTGCAGTCCTGCACTTCTCTCCGTTTTGGCTTTCATGATAAGTTTCGGAGTAGAACACTAAATCGTTCAGTGAGTTGCTCTTTATCCCTCATTTTAAATGATCTGATTTAAATTTAGACATAATTACTTTTGAAATATTTTAGTGAGATGAAGGATTTCCTAGATTCACCAGCTGGCTTCGAGGAAATCAAGACTGTTTTTGACTCGACAAGCAGGTGCAGTCTAAACTATTATATACTGTGCGAAGGACAGATTAAATTAAATATGACGAATGTTTGATATCTTCCATTCGAACGTATGACCTGTCAATTGCACTTGTCATTCTTCAGACTTGCTCCAGTAGGAAATTGAAGCAGTAGTTTATTCTGTTTGGAAGACCGGCGAAGAATTTCTTGTTGTTTGCAGTTTTGCGAGGTTACGACGAGTGGAGGTAGATATCACTGGTCGTTTGTTATTTATAAGATTTGAAGCTGAAACAGGTGATGCAATGGGAATGAATATGGTTTCGAAGTGATTTTTTTGTACTTTTCCTCTTCCATTTTTGAAAGACTGAAAGTAATCAAAATCTCCCTTGTTTTTTGTTTTTCACCTCACGTAATCCAATAACAATTCACCTCCCAAATTTATATTGTTGACGATTTTACCTCAACCTTTTTGATTGTGCCATTCGTTCTGTGTGGTCGATCATACCAATCTCTCTCATTATCTCAGCTGTTTTTTCATTGATAATCGGTGTCTCTCATTGATTCCGCTACCCTCTATTATCTACGAATATTTTGTTAGGCATCCTGCTTTGTGAATGATAATTTCTATTGAAAAAATAATGTGCTATATTTAATGTTACAGAGGTGCAAATGTAGTATTATCATATTTAAAAGAGAAATATCCCGAAATGGAGGTATTGTCGTTATCTGGTAATTACTGTGTGGACAAGAAGGCTAGCGCAATTAATTGGTTACTTTTTATACCTACCACTCTCTCGTGCTCTTTTGCTTTTCTGTAAGTTTCATTGTTAATTTTTCTTTCTACTACGATCTAGCTAATGATTCTTAGATTTTGCAGGATTAAGGGACGCGGGAAATCGATGGTTGCCGAAGCAACAATTCCAGCTGCAGTGGTGCAAACTGTCCTTAAAACTACTGTTGATGCACTGGTGCGATTAGGACAAGCAAAATTGTTGATTGGTTCTTCCCTGGCTGGTACAATTGGTGGTTGGAATGCACATGCAGCTAATGTTGTTGCAGCCATATTTATTGCGACTGGACAGGTTTCGTTTATAGACTCATGACCCTTAATTTTTCTTATTACTTTCCATACCACTAAAGTATTTTGCTAATCAGCACATTTTGGAGTTATAGGATGTTGCTCAGGTTGTGTCTAGTAGTATGTGTTTAACGACAATGGAAAAAACCGAGCTTGGTGATTTGTATATTTCGTGCAACATGCGTTGTCTTGAGGTTGGAACTGTTGGAGGTGGTACTATATTACCAGCTCAAAATGCATGCTTGCAGGTTTCTTGAAAATTCCCATAATCTTTGGATTCTTAAATACTTATTTAGTGACTTCAGAGATATTTTCGTTGATCATGAAATAGTAAGAGGTCTGAAAATCTCAGAAATGGTGCTTGCATCTGTGCATGATCAAAACAATAAGTACATGTTATTAAGATAATGGGTTGTGGGACACCAACCTCAGTCCCAGGCGAATGTGCCACGCGTTTGGCAGAAATTATTTGTTCAACAGTGCTGGCGGGTGAATTATCCCTTCTTGCAGCTCAGTGCTCGAATGATCTCGTTAAAAGTCACATTAGGCTTAACAGGTTATGATTTTTATCTTCCTGGCTAGACTTAGACATGAAAGCCCAATTTTCCAATAATTTTACTTTTTACATTTACATTACATTTTACTAGGTGCCTTCCTGTTACCTAAGATTCAAAAGGAAAGATATTTCTTGTCATAACACCTTGAGATGCCGAAATAGCCTTGGCATTTCGCACAATCTGTCGTTCGTCATTAATCACTGGCCGAAATTGTGTTCTGAGTTCGAATAGTTAGGTTATTTTGAATGCTTAAGGTCTACTAAATGTTTGTTGACGTCCGCGGGTTCTGCACCTAATTTTCGACGTGAATCAAGCGCAGTAACTTGCGATAGCGATGGACAGAAGAAAGTGAGGGTAGAAATCTCATTTCGAGAACATCCGGTGACAGAGAAGCCTGTTAAATTTGAAATGCAATGTTCTAATATTTTGTGATACATAGTTTTGAAATGAGTTCTTCTGCTGTATGGAGATTTTTGATATGAAGCTTTGACTTATATTTGTTGCAGAGTTGAGAAACTATTGAATGAAAAAGTCTTTAGATTTATAATTTTAATTCGATCAGATGATTCTGAAAATGAACTAATTGAGAAATTTCAATTTAAAACTTTGTTCGGATGTTAAAAGATAGTTGTAAAGTTTCTTAGAAGTTTTTTTCCTTAAAAATTTCTTTATACTCAGAAATGCATTAGGCTTGCACGACTAGGACCACTACAATAAGTTATAAATTAACTTTGATATAAAGTAACTTTGCAAGGTAACACATTTTGTGAATTTCAGTGTTGTGATGACCAAATCAAGTACTTGTTTAGTATGTTGAAAAGCAAGATATGATTTAAAATAAAGAAAAAAGAAAAGGGGGATATGTAAGAAAAGGAAAAAAACTAGTGTGACCAAAGGTCATTGAACATGCAGAATATGTCCGAGCAGTTAGGCATTTGTAGCATATGGTGTTGTTTGTTTTGTCGACTTCTAAACCATATCTAATCACTACTTTCATTGTAACTCTTATAAATTTATGCATAATTAATCATTTATTATTGCACTATATATTACTATTCGAATAACAATTCAGCAAGTTAGATAACCACAACTTTTGCTTCGTCAAATGACTCCTTTGTTTATTGTTTGTTAGCTATTGAAATTTAGATATAACTCATTTTGAATTCACTATTATTATTCGCAATACTGACGGCTTTTTGGAAAATTTCCAAACTCAGATCAGCAGTGTAACAATAGCAATTTTGGTATATTTTCCAGTGGTTGTAAACGTTCTGTAGCTCCGGCTGCGGTCACTGATTGTTGTGGTACTGTGGGTATAGCTTCCATTCGCTCATCGGTTGATGATACTGATGGATGGCGAATCTCAAAGGTTTTTGAAAATGAGAAACCGGTTTTGGCTGAACGTCTAATGAAGTCGCAACATTTCAGTTGACAAATCTGCAATTGTTTGAAGATTCAAAATTTTGGTTAGCTCTAGGTCCCAATTTCAGAAATGTTATCAGACTTAGGAAGATATGTTTTTGTTTTTATATATGATTGTAATAATTTTGTAATACTATTCAATCAATAACATTAGAAACAGCGAATTTATTGAATATCGTCAAGTTTATATTCAAATGATAATATCAATACATTTTTACTGATATGATCGAAACTATAGGGAATATATTTATGAAATTTGTAAATTAGTTAACGCTAAAAGTTAGATAATGGATCAAGATTTCTGACAATTACATTCTCAAAAAAAGATGTTTTTATGAAGAAGGATTTACCGTTCTTATATTCTTATTATTGAATAATTGATAAAAATGAGTACATACCAAGACGTGAAACCATGTAATAACAAATAAGATGATTAAGATAATAAGTAAAATAAGTGAAATAGCACGATTTTCCTTTTCTTTCTGTTGCAAATGAAACACTGCTAAAGGGATAAGTGCTGCCGATAAAAAACTGAATAATATTAAGCATAAAATCCTGCAAATGGTTCATTCATTTAATGATTCACTTTTCCTCTCATGCAATTAACTATCTACTAGTTTAATTTCAATGTGTCCGTCTGTGTATATGCGTATATGTGTATATATATGTATGTATATTTGGCATATGTATATAGAAAATCTGCAAAATTTTTCATCCCTGTGAATTAATTTTTTTTGCAAAAGAAAAGTGTAGATGTAATTTATATATTAAAATATTCAAGTGAAAGGTAACAGGCGTAAAATGAAAGAGGAGAAAAGCGTTTTTCGAACAAACCTAAGAATAATATGTGGAATAATTAGCATCCAATTATTAGCTTTTAAGCCATAAAACATTATGTTTATTGAAACGATTTGAGCAATAGACCATATGATCCATGTAATATTCGGATAGCATATAATGTTACGGACATAATTGGTAATGCGGAAAAAGGAAAATTCATTTTTCAGAAAATCTTGAAAAGTTTAAAGTTTAGGGGAGTGTGTGTTTCATTTACTTATTTTATTTGTTTTTGAATAAATGACATCATTTTGTATGAAATGCGAAATTGTAGAACGACAATTGCATTATTTTTAGTTTGTCTTTTAATTACTTTACATTCATACAGAAAGGAATCAATGATTAAATGAAAAACAAAAATGTTTCATTTGTTCGAATACTTTTTCTGTCATTATCGTAGAATAACAAAGACAAAAAAAATTTAGATTTTGAATTGTTGAATTGAATAATTTCGAAATATTCTAATAAATATCGGCATGTTTTAAAGGAAATACTAAACCATCCTTTTAAAATAAAATAAAAAAGGAAGTTGCGTCACGAACCTTCCAAGTTGTTGCTGACTTCCCGATGAAGTATCATTTGCATAGAACTCTGTTTCAGGGTTCTGCTCATTGCATTGTTTTGATTTTAAATCAGGAAGGACTGAAATCAAATTTCTGTTTCTTGAAATTTCAATAATTAAATGATAATAAAATTCCAGAAAAAAAGACTTAATAATATTTCGTTTTATTTCCATGTAATTTTCAAGCAGCTAAAAAAAAGGCGAAATCTCTTAATCAAGTTTATTATTATAAATTCTCGTTAAAATTTTAAATTAGCAATAAGAAATCAGCTAATAATTTTTTTCTTTTGCTCAAAATTATTATAGACTGAAATGCTTAATGCTCCCCATAAAAAGCAAAATCCTCCAATCAATCTTTCCCAATAAGAATTATATTTACAAGTAACATATTTATGCGTTTCATTCATATGCTTAGATTAAATGCTCATTACAAAACTTTGTAAATTAAAATGATTGTTAGGTTTGGTTTATTTGCTTATCAAGCATGTAATGCATCATCTAATCATTGAAAATAATCAACCATTCATAAAAAAGCAACCTTTTTGTTCTCTTATATTATTTAGCATAATCATCATTAACTAATCTACTTTTAGTTTAAATGAAGATTTTTTTTAAAGCAATGCTACGTATTATGATTAGCATCATTCGATCATAAAGTTTTTTAGATGAATTATAAAATGGAACACCTGCTATAATTAGAAAGCATATGAGAATGATTTCCATGATACCAAATAGTAATGTAAAGTTTTTGACATGAAAACCGCATGAATAATATTTTTTATCGTTAGGATTGAAATTATGTGGTAAATTCATAGTTTGATATTTCAATATTCCACTTTTTTCTAAAGGAATTCAAGTTAAAAATTATCGACCAAAGATTGAAATATATACAATTCGCCGAAAATTTTCGTATAATAAGTTCAAGAACTGCTGTTGTCTTTTGATTTAATATCAAAAAATTCTAAGGCTAATTGGAAAGTGTTGAGAGTTTTAAGTTACACTAATCAGTGAGGAGTAATTGGAAATTCTGAAGTTTTCTGAATATCATATTTGGTATGAGAGATCAGTTATAACATACTATTTACAACTATGCACACTTTTATAGTATGCTTAGATGAAAGCTTCAATTGCTTTAAAAAAATGAAGGTTGTCAAAAAAGTACCGAAGTGATAAAATGAATGGCAAATAAATGTTTTGTATTCAAAAGATATGCAACTTGCAGGGAATTAAGGTATCTGAAAAATTCTTAATTTAAAAATTTCGAATAATCTTGACAAAATTGAATTTTGAAAAAAACATAAAATTTCATCCAAATCTATGGCAAACAAGCTATATGAAGGATTATTGATGATCACTGTGTAATAAATACTCTCAAATCACTTTTATAATTTTAAAAAAAAAGAAAAAAGCAAACTAGAAAAATTAAAGGATTGCATATTTAGTTGTTATTCCAAAAAAGAGAAAAAAAAAACTAAAATAAAAAAGTCAGTTAAGAAATATTTTAATGAATAATTTTAAAAAATGCTATGCTAAGAGAACGTATAAGGAAAATAAAAGTAACCATCCGATTATTACCATAGCAACGCGTGATACTTTATTAAAAGCATAACTGAGTAATATATAAGCATAGATATGGAATGAAACAAATTTCGGCCGTTTATTTTACTTAAACTTATTGTGTTAGTAAAATTCATCATAATTATCAAGTAATTAATTCAGTCCAGACATCCTGATGATTTCAATAGAGATTATTTTAACTAAATTTATTTTAAATGTGATTTGATTTGAAAATTTCCAAACAAATATTCTTGTACAAAAAAAACGAAGGTTTGATAATGGTTGATAAATGATAAACAATGAGTGATAATATTAGAGGTGGAAATGAATTAATGAATGATAATATTAGAGATGGAAATGAATTAAGCATATAAGAGGAGTTATAATGCTATCATGTCACACCTATGCAAATATGATTACTGCTTTCATACACTAATGATTATCTATCGGATTAGATTTTAAAAAAAAGTCACGTATCCAAATTATGATAAAGGATAAATCTCTGTATTAATATCATTACCTCTTTTCTTTCTACCAAATAGTGTTAAGTTAAGGAAGAAAAGAAATTTCGGAGAACTATAAATTTTAAAAAGAAAGATGTAAGAAATACATATAAAAACAATGACTATTTTCGCGAACAGAAGTTGATATTATTGATTCTATAGTCTTTTCAACTTGATCATTATCTTTTCTACTAATTAAATTAGTGAATATCCTAATAGAACATTTGTCATGATTAGTTATTAATATGTGCAACTGAAATAATTTCAGAAATTCAATCCCAAACACTTCCACAAATTTCAACCGGAATGGTTTCATTTAATTTAACGTGAAATAACTCCATGAGCTTGTTAACTTGTTGCAATTGCTCAAACTAATTGACTTTAGTTTATCTCAAAGCATTCAACTTGAAAACTTCTTACTGTCAATATATGGATCAAATTTGGTTGATTAAGGAACCAGTTTACAATGCAGCGATGTCCGAGTGGTTAAGGAGTTGGACTTGAAATCCAATGGGCTTTGCCCGCGCAGGTTCGAACCCTGCTCGCTGCGTACGCATTAGTTTTTCAAAACATGAAATAACATATGATGGAAATTTACCGGTATGGAATGATAAATGGTAACAATAATTTACAGACTGAAATCATTTTAAAAAAATTTTACTATTGAACTTTGGAGATCACTTTACGTGCAGCGATGTCCGAGTGGTTAAGGAGTTGGACTTGAAATCCAATGGGCTTTGCCCGCGCAGGTTCGAACCCTGCTCGCTGCGGTCGAGCTTTTGGCAGTTGCTACAGTGATCATCTATAGCATTTGTTGTTCCCATCTAAATTTTCAGATTTCCTTGTGTTTATTCTACTTCTCCCCGATAAATTCAGTACTGTACTATGATCTGCATTTTCAGATTTGAGGATTCTCAACAACTGCACCGAAATTTAAAAGCAGATATATTTTGAGATATCTTGAAGTATGAATACTATATTTTTTCCTGAAATATGTAACATTCCCTTCTCAAATTCCTTCTGGACACTGCCACAGTTTTTAGTCGACTAAAATCCAAATTCGTCGAAATTGGAAGAGCACTTATTTTTGTAATTGGCTTTTATCATTTATCAAAATGAAAACTGAGGAGCAAAAAAAGTAGTGGCTTCCTTATCGTAGTGCATCAGTTGAATATTTGGAACGCACAACATAAAATATACAATAAAAAGGAAAATAAAATCTAAAAGAGGTGCAAAAATGATTGTCGAAATTAAAAAGTTCCTCTAGTTATAAAAATCCTCAAAATTTAAGTCCACTGAGAATGCAAAAATGATAGCCGGGCTTTGACATATAAGGCAAATAATTCAACAGAAGTCCTAAATTTAAACGTGTTCAATAATGTTACAGTTTCAATAATATCTAAGACATATCGATACCACCTCTGTTTCAGAGGTGGTATCGATATGTCTTAGATAACTTAGAAAATGGGCGAAAGTTCATGATAACATATTGCAAATTAGGAAAACAGAAAATATTAATTTGAAGAGAATATGAAATCTAATGCCTCGCTATCGTCCATCATAACATCGACGTCATCTTCGGGCTTTCCTGAATCCTCATCTTGAACAAACGATTTTGATCTGAACGGCATACTGCTTGTTGTCTCAGTACAAACTGGTGGACCGTCATTCTTTGCAACTGAATCAAAGACATTCAACTGGTTCATTCGTTTCTCACGTTGCACACGGAGTTCTTGCGCACGACGTTTATTTTTTTCAATACGTTGTAACTGCTCCCATGATAATTTCGATACCTTGAAACAAATATACGCAAATATATACACCATCTTAATGATTTTCCGTTTTCACGGTGTGAAATTCTAAAATTGAAAATATATGAGTGAAATCTCTCACGTACAGGGAATTTAGAAGGTGAAGTTGCTTGATACGATGTAACAGGCGCAGATGGCAAATTGTCGGGAATTTCAAACAGATCTGTGTCATCCAGTAACATATCAGTGAACTGCTCATTTTTTCCTTTAACAGCCATTTGTACATCCTCTTCATTTTCTTTGTTTGCGAAGTCTTCATCAGTCAAAGGCATATCAAGTCGCATTTTTGTCAACATTGTCTAAAATGAATAACATCGGACTGAAAAGAGGTACTCTCCTGAAAGATTTTTCATATAAATCATGATACACTGCAATTTTCTCCCCAACAGCTGAAAATTGAGAAACAAATATTGACAATCATCAGTGGAAGGATAGCCTCTCCAAAAAAAGACCATACTGAATTTTTTTACAAGGAATTGATAACTCACTTTTATCATTCTTTTATCACTCAGGGATTCCACACGAGCCACAAAATCTTCAAATGTCATTTTAGGACACAGTAGGTGTCCCCAATGTTCTATTCCGTTTATCATTGCAAGCAAATCATCATACTAAAAAGGAGGAAAAACAGAAATCTTCTAATCGCTTCTGCTTGACATAACTGACATGTAACTGAATTAAAAATTTCATCATTTTCAACTAATGAGATGACATACAAAAATCAGCAAAAAATTTATGCCAATGTGCATAGCATCTGTATATATAACTTATCCTATGTTATGTCATTTAACATAACACAGTTATGTGAAACGTTAAATTGCACATTACTCAGATTCAACATATATTATTGGATTCAAGAGGTTAAAAGGTCATTTCTAATGTTGAGGCAAGTGATTTATTAAGGTCATTTTCAATTTAATAAGGCAAGTGATTTATTCATTATGAGTTATTGATAAACTGATCTTAAGCTAGTTTCTTGATTTCTCAAATATTGCCTAAGTCTATCATGGAATTTCTAGCGAGTGAATCATAGCAGAAGGCTGTGTAGAAAACAACTACAGGATGAAAGGACCAAGACCAACTGGATTTTTATTCTTCGGCATATAACTATCGAAACTTCGTTTCAATTCGAGGAAACCATTTGACCCACAAAGTTCAATATCTCGCAATTTTGGATTCCTCACAGTACGTTGCTTACGAATCTTCCGTTCATCTTTCTTCAGTAGGTCGTTCAAAATTTGTTCCTCGGAAGGTTTTGCTGAAAGTAGATAATGTGAAATGCTTGTTATTTGCTTTTAACAAATCAATCCTCAGAAGATTAAATTGTACTGCAACTTCATTTCTACATCAAATAATATGTTGGCATAAAATTAATAAATAACGATAAAACAAAATATATGATGATAATCGACCATTTTTGCCAGTCTTCTCGTGTTCCTTTCCATCATCTTCAGCAAACAATGTTTCGGAATCGTATTCAATATCCATCAATCTGTATATACATTAGCAAAGTACTACACCTAAAAAGATCAATCTGGTATATATGCTAACGAAATACTATGCCTGCGAACATCAGCAATATATACACTTTCAACAAGCAAAGAACCGCACTTAAAAAGATTTAAGATTTCTATGAATTAAAAAAAAAATTTCTGGAGTTTTTTTGAAAAAAAATTTTACTAATTCAGAAAATACCATGACAGACGCATAGTTGGTAGATGCATAGATATACATGTGAAGTTCAAGAAATGTGTGAATTAGTTATAGCAATGAGACATAATTCGAAATATCAAATGAGATAGAGAATGAGATGTGGAAGAGAGTAAGGCAACAGGTTGAAATGAGATACCATTCCTGTAATAGGCTGAATTGAGGTACTAATTCACGTCGCTTCTTTTAACGATTTTATCGAGAAGTTAAGAGAAGAGTCGATAAGCATCCAAAAGATGTCGATAGCTTTCCATCTGTCCAAATTGTTCAATTAATCTGTCCAATTGATTAAGATAAGGAAACATCAAGTATACCCAAGCTGATCAAAGGAAAAAAAATTTTCAAAAAAAGGAAAATGCAATCTTTTAAACCAACCGCAAACATAAGAGGCAAAGGGGAAAAAGATATTGCATTCATAGCAATGAGGTAAATTACCTTATTCGGAATCAATGGGTACGTAATCAACGTATCGCTCAGGAACGTAGACGTATACGAGTTGATGGGTTTTATATAAATTTAATTTTTTCGATATTTTCGTTAGGAAAGAATTTGATATTTTCGTTTTCGTTACCTTAAATTTATATCTTTGCTTTATTCTTGCATCCTTTCTTTTCGTTATTTCTTCCTTTGTCATTTTCTTTTTCATATATTCCAGTGTTTTCTTCCAAAAATTCTATAATATCATCCTTGCTTATTATACAGATATTTCTACTATTTATTGTCGTGTACTTCTTTTTTTCCTGTTTAAATGCGGAATTTTTCAAAAATTTTTCTCAGTTCCTGTTATCTGTTAATTATAGATAATTTGCTACGATTCAAGAAATTATAAATCTTACCAGAAATGATTGTAATCCTAATCTAATTTTCGTATTTTTTCCTCTCTATGTGGTAGCGGAAGGCTGAAATTTAAATATGGAATTTCTGCAAATCATTCCCTCCTTTGCTTACCGTCTACGCTTTTTCTTTCCATCCCGTCTCTCATCTATCCTCTCTTTATAAGAAAAAAAAAGTGAAGGACTCAAAACACTGAGCAAGATGGCAAAGTTTTCCAATTTACAAGCAATATCAGCTTATTTTTCGTCATTTCATGTCATTTCAGTGCGATACGTTTGAAATGGTTGGTGTTTCGCTTAAAAGAAACGATGAAACAAACTGTAGTTTATGCTGAAAAAGTGAATGTTTGAATGCTTGAAAATAATGGTTAGACGATTACTTCTACCAATTTTTTTTTTTGGTAGAAGTAGTCGTTTTTTTTAGTAGAGATAGTCTTTTTTTGGTAGAAGTAGTCTTTTGTTCTAAAAAGCAAATGATGAAGATTTTTGACATAACACAGTTTACATGCTAAAAATTACAATATATGGACACCTTTAGTAATGTATTAATACACTGTGCAATGATTCAAATAATAAGTGGTTGAATTTTTTTATTTGTTTCAAGTTAAATCTGAGCAACCTTGTTTCTATGTGCATCATTAATGATATTTTAACCTAATGTTATGTTTGGTATTTCTTTTTTTTCTTGTTACAAATTTTAAATTTCAGCTTGCATTGTGGAACAAATTTTTATCGCCGTGAAAGGAGAAATAAAACGATATGAGGAAAGATAACAATAATTAATTTGGCAAAGAAATTTTTAGTTTCTTTGCACAAATGCTTAAGAACAATGATGGCATTGTTCAAGTATAAATGTAATTTATGGCTTATCGTAGTTAAGATGACTCAGATTATCAGTGATTAGTTATTTTAGCTAAAGTGAATTATATCAAGGTGGTATTATATCAAGGTGATTCCGAAGCTCTCATTTTGTTTTACTGTTGTATTCTTTTACATGATTAACAATTTCTCATTATAATATGGGGAAATCTAATTCTCTATATTTAGGATGATGACGAATGTTATTTTGAAAATGTAATATTAAATAATGATTGGTTGATAACAGCAACTCTTTGGAGATAAGTTGAAATAAACAAAAATATCGGTGTATTTTTCCTAGAAACAAACTGTTGAAGTAATGCATTTCAATGCGTTTAGAAACGATAAATATTAAAATCTTTTAATTTTTTTAGTCAAGTTGAATAATGAGAAATGTAAAGATAAATTTTGCTTCTGCTGATGCATTAGAACAATTAAAGTTGTTTAATTTGTTGGTTAAACTGTAAAGAGCATACAATATATTTTTTCTTACAATATACTTATTAAAACTAGTTATAAAATCACATAATAATAATAGCAAGCTTTTCTTTCCTACTGATGCATATTCTTAATTGTTAGATAGAAAACTCTAATATGTTAAACTGATATTTAAAGTTAATACTTTAAAAGAGGGAATTTTTAACTGTATTAATTTATCAATCTGATTACTTCTTTTGTAATTTCAAATACAAAACATCATTTGAACAGTTAAACAAATCTTTTTTTTTTTTGAGCACATCGATGGGAAGCATCAATAATGTCCTTGAGCCATTTACTAGTGCGATATTGATCAGTGGGAAACGAACTGAATATAACGGATGAAGCTAAGCATTGTGGCCTAATTTGTTTAATTTTTGAAACGTTGATTATAACACATCATCATAGGAAACGATTGGTTCTTTTCTGTTGAACCCTATTGATTAGTTTGATAAAATGCCATTTCTCTATTATCTACTGTTTACTTTGCCATCCATATTTAGTAATTAGGGTAAATGTAACAACTAGTAATAATGAAACGGTCAACTTTTGTGAAAATTACGCAAAAAGCTCATATTAATTAATGTTACGAATCCAAACATTGTATTACCAGTGATTATTAATTGATTAGCTAATTAGTTTTTAATGTGTTAATTAGTTTTTTAACTTTTAGGCCTGTTATCATCAGGTTTTTCGGATAAACTTTAGAATTCTAAATGAATTCTAAAGTTTTTCATCACAGCATGCAAATAATTACATGCGGGAACTTTTTGACTAACAGCAATACTACTTTTTTTATTTCGCTTTAGAATTACAAAAAACAATTAAAGCCAAAAAAAAAAAAAACTTTAAGAATTCACTTCATTGCATAAGGCCAGAAAATGTTTCCTCTCATTTGACCAACAAAATGGCATTGATTCTCTTTAAACTTTTAATCATTGGAATGATTGCTGACTTGAAAACTTAAATTCTTTTCAATCAATCACCATTTTTCTTCAAAATTCCCTCTTTTTACTGCGATGCAACTGAATCTTTGCAGTGTTGGTACAGATGAGATTATATTAAAAGAATAAACCTGAAATAACGCTAGATCGGTGGCATTTCTAAAGGGAACTCATTCTCTCTTCTGGAGGGAATGATGGTTGCAATGTTGGGTAAATGAGAGAAAATTATGGTATCGGTAAAGAATCACTTAATATAGCAATAATGGGAAAGTAGAAATGAAGAGAAGTGGGAAAACTTGATGAAAGGAAGTAATTTGGTGTGTCTGGAATGAGAAAACAAGTTTAAAGTTTAAAGATTTAATCAGTTATAGATCTAACCCAAAGTACGATATTTTCTGGTCAGATATTTTTAAAGCCAAACACTAGTAGAAGTTTCAATAAATAACGGCTGGTGGGATTCTTATATGATATGATATCAATGGATTGGTGGCAAGGAATAGCTTCTTAAATTTCCTGCAATTCTCATCCACTAATTAAAAACTCTCCATGACTAGATGATACCTTTGTTGGAAAGAAACTGTGGATTGATGAAAGTGTAACTATGGTTTTTCCAGATGAGGCCTTAGAGATAATAAAAGCTAATACTAACCTGTTGCTGAACGACCACAGAAACGATTATAAATTCTCTGGCTATTTCATCGAAGAATCGACCGATCATTGGACGCATTTAAAGCAAAGTGGAAAGATGAGTAGTGAATGTTTGAACTAATCGACAACCAGGGAATTCAATATTTTGAAATGTCACATTCTTTCATTTCATGCAGCTATAACGAAAGTTTTATCAATCAATTTAAGGTATGTGATAGGGAAATAATCTTTGATGACAAATAACGATGATCAAAACATTGTTTCTACAGAGAGGAAATCTAAAGCATTTCTTATAACTATAATGATATAGTTGCAAAAAAAAAAAGAAAAAAAAACCATGAAACTATTACTACAACTTCTTTCCTAATCTTGGAAAACTATCGTATTTAATTGATATGATTAGCAAAGTGATAAGATGTAAAGAAAATTGCAACATCATCATTGGCCAATAGGAAGGAATCATTTTTTATCACAATGTCTGATAATTAATGCTTCGAAAATTACATAAATTAAACTATAAGGGTTAATCTAATCTATCATATTTGGCTTACTTCTCATCGGCCAACTATTGCTCTAATAAATAAGTTCAAGGTATTATTGATCAGAAGACAGAAGGATTTATTGATCTCAATACCATAATCGATGAGATTTACCGTTTGACAAATGCCGCTCATAATTCATTCATAATCCAATTATGAATCAAATAACATTTGCAAGGAAGAAGTTAGACAAAGAATAGTAAAGATTAAATTTAGAAGTAAGTAGACACGCATATATGCATATTTTCTCCATCGAAAAAAGTACCTTACAATTTATTCATCTCGTTGACAGTAGCTTTTATTGGTCTTACGATATATATACGATACTGCACAATATTACCCTTATACAATAATAGGGAGGAAATGAAAACATACAGTAAATACGAAGGGATACCAACATACCTCTAAATGTTCTTCGCTACATTATCGTATTTTCTTTTTGTAACTGTTGCTCACCCTTTTGTTCCATCACTGCTGTTGCTTCTGTTTTTACGTCACTATTGATATGCTATCGTAGAAGAATGAACAAATGGATCAATGGAGAATTGTCGTTTCTAATTAACTGTCGCTTATGCTGTCGTCTACTCTAGCTGAATTTCCTGACTGAATTGCTCCAATTTTTAAAGTTCTCTTCTTCTAAACCCTTTGGGCTCCTCCTGCTTTAGTAGTAAACTTCATTTCCATATTGGCTTCTTATGATCCTTGTATATCCGCTAATATTTTAATTCTTCAACTATGGTCAATGGATTTTGACATGACACTAATTTGAAATTGGACTGTATTCTCTGTCGAGAAAAGAAGCAGAAAACGTAAAAATACATTACAGATCGATGACAGAATATACCATCATTCATAAAATAATACAGTTCAGCTGAGTACAACAAATTAGTCAAACAGTTCGATGAAATTACTATTACACTACTAAAATACACTATCGATTGATTGAAAAGAATTTAGGTTTTCAAGTTTATAAATCATTTTAAATGGAAGGAAGTTTGTTTGGCATAACTTTGTCCCATTAGACAATACTCTTTTTTTCCTTATAATTCTCGATGGAATAAAACTTTTTCTATTCATGTCATATTATCACTCTATTTGTAGATATATTTTGAGGAACATCAATTAACCGAATGACAATCTATCTGACACTCATGAAAGTTATACGTTGTTAATTCTATAACAAATATGTGACGATCATTTAGTAATTAATTATTATTAGCAACTTCTAATAATATCGATTACTATTTATTCATTAATGATTTCTTACATTGTCATTTCCTTCGTTAAAATTATTTGAAATATTAGCATATTATACCTTTTACAATAATTTGAATGCCAAATGCATTATTGCCGCCTTATTTTGATCCATTTCCTGTCCATTATTATTTCAATTAGTTTTACAAGAAATATCAAATGATGAATCATCATTAAGGTAAGAAGCATTTTAAGAAATGAATCGTAAAATGACATTTAATATGATCATTATGTGACAATACATATGCTAATGTAAAACAGTAAATTTCAACGATGCAAAATTTTCAATCATTCCTGCACCATTTGCAAACGCAGTTATGCTTATCGAAGTTAATTTTTATATAAATTTGCTGACAAACTTTTTCACATTTATAAGTTTATCTTTTATTGCTGTCAAGCAGTTGTGTATTTCAATTTGCTTATCATCCTACTTTATCAGTGATATATCCATACTGTATAAGATAAAATTATTCAGATACACGATTATATTTAAGCTATTTACGTTTCATTATGTTAGAATTTATCAATTTATCAAGAAAACTTATCAAAAACGTCACATTCATCATATTTGTCATACTTTTCATAAAACATTACTTTATTTAACTCTTCTTTTGATAATATAATAGCATCCAAAGTAAGAATGTGCTATTAATTTAGTTTACAAATGTGCAATTGTCCACAAATGATCATCTATTTTGGTGAACTTTGTTGACAGATTAACCCAAACAAAATGTTCAATTCCAGTATCTATACAGATGGGATTTTGATTTAAGAAAATGTCGAGATTAGGAGAAAAGTTGAAAGTTAGTAATCATCGAGCAGAACTTATCTTGCGAAACAAACCAATAAACCTATCTAAGGAACATGAGGTATATTTTTATTGCATTAGTTCAAAGATTGAAATGACATTAAATTTAATTTTATATATTTTCAGTTTTTTGTATGATTTTTTTATCATCGCAAGTATTTTCATGATAATCAGTTGCAATTTCAGTATTCGAAATGGATTGCTTCACAAGCAGAGATGAAACCGGAAGATATTACCGAAGTTAAATATTTTCGATTAAAACTTCTTTCCGAACAATATTGTCATGCGGAGTAGTGAGTGTTATTTGTGCTAATAAAAAATATTTTCTGATTTTGCATTTCGTTCATAAAATCAAAAGTTAAATTTACTTCAAAAAGCACGATGAGAAAGTTAAATGTAATAATTCATTTTTTTTAAACAATATATGAATATATTTTACACAATAACAATATATTTTTAAACAAACAATATATGAATATATGAACTGATCATGTCAAAAATACAGTTATTACCCGGAAAATGAACCGTATCGAGTCTATTTTCATAAAGTATCTAATCGATGGTTTGTCTATAAAAGTTACCAGCGTATCACTGATGTAAGTTTCATGTCATGTTCAATCAGTAGTGATAAATAATTGAACAAATTTTAAACTTATTTCAATTTATTAATTTTTTTTTAAAAATCAATTCAATAAGTGTCCATTAAATTTGAAAATAACTCCAACGATTATATGTTAATTAAAGAAGTAAAACTGTGTAAAATTTATTGATAAATTATACGATGAAATTGATTATCGAAAAACATCAAATCAAAAATGGAGAAATTTGGTAAAAGAATAAATATTAATTGCACAATGTTCAATGTAACTTTTATTAAAAGTTGACAAAACATTTGAAAAGAATTCTTAAATTAATAATATCATATTGATAATATTTTTATAGTTATATGCGATTGATCATTTCAATACAAAAGTGTATTATATGGGTGTTATACCGGATGATATTATGAAACGTGGTGATTTTTATGAAATTAATGATTTCATCTCGTACGTAAACTGAAATTTCTTCTTTCTTTTTTTTTCTCTATATTGATATTTATGATTTCAATGTTATAGTAATAGTTAATGAATGAAATTTTATACATATGTTAAGAGTATAAGCTGAGAAATTTAAAGTTTTATTTCATATATTTCATTTAAATGTTTAGGAAAATTTTTGCTTTTGGAATGAAATTTGTGTAAATTTGGTACAATTATTCAAATAATAATTTTTTTTAAGGACAGTTTTGGTACTACATGGTGAATATAATCGTAAATTGGAACTACAACACATTACAGGTGGTGGATTTCGACCAGATTTACGATCAATGAAAGGTCGTAAAGTTTTACCAACATTTTTAGCATCATATGCAAGAGAACAGGTTGTTAATATTATATTCTATTTATTGGAAATAATTATTTTTTCTGGTTGAAATTGAAAAAATTGAAATTTCAAATTAAAAACAAATCAAAATGATTCTTGTTACCTTTTTTTTTTGACGATAAAATTGATTAAGTGTTAATATTTTGTAGAGACAGATAGATAATAATCAGAAAACAAATTCAGATAAATCGATAATATTTTTAGAAATGTGGACCAACAATGATAAAAGTTTTGATTGACCGTCATTTTGCTGATTTACGAGCCTATCAACGAGCAAGACTTCAAAATATTGAGAAAAATTTGGAACAAAACAATATTGTTGAACAAGTTAAGGCATGTAATGATATTTTGGTTGAGCTTTTCCTAATTTGCATATTTCTCTAGCAACATGAGATAGCATTCCATTATCATAAATGCAAGAAAAAAAGTTATAATTATTTTTTGTTAGAATAATTCAAGATGTCATCTCGGGAAACTTTGTGATTCATCATTTCTAGGCCTTTACATCAAGTCATAAGCACTGGGTTCATGCCCGGAAACATATGAGTAATTATGCCGCATTACAACATAAAATACGGAAAACAGTTCCATTTAAACGATCATCTGCTACAAGGTTTTTATTTGCTTCTTTGTTAAGTTCAATCTGATCTTTTTCGGAAAATATCGTTAGACAGCTTAGTGGCACGGAAAATATGATGCATTCAGGAAAATATCATTCGGTGATTTAGTAACCGGAAAGTGTAATTGTTTTTAAGGGGAGGTATTGATAATGATTATGATCCTGATTGATCCTGATATTTTCGATATTGACCTTGATAATCTTGATTCTTGATTAGTGATAGCAGGAAATATGATGTATTCAATTCATCCAGCAATGTGTGCTAGTGCTCTAATTAAATTAAAATTTATCCTACTATTTAAAAGGGAAGAGAAAAAAAGTTTTGTTTTATCAAAATCTTATCAATCTTTATATCACTTGACTATTCATAAATTTTGAAATAATTAAAAAATCTTATCATGACTAAAATTGACAATACTAATATTTTGTTAACGAAATTTTGATATGATAATAAAATAAGATGAAGATAATATTAAATAAATAAAGTGGCAAAATAGATTTAAATGTATTCCTCAAAAATTTTCCCTCCAATTGTTATATTTAGTTGCTTTAAAAGAATTTTTAAAATAGGTTAATAGTTTTAAAAGATGTAACTGTGTCGGATTTATGCAACGAATTAATCGATTATCCAATTTGGGCTGGCTTTCATTACTATTTCATGCGAGTACTCAACAAAAATGGCCTACATATTGTTTATGATGATATCCATTATGCTGTTGTAAGTTACTTGTCTTATTTCATTAACTTTCTCACAATTTAACCTTTGGAGGATTAAAATTTATTCTATTAGGAGGCGCTTCCTTAAATGATTATTATATTTAATTCATATAATCTTTTTTTTTACCTCCAATCTAACAGGTTATTCTATGTAATTTTGTCGAATATAATATTAATAAAACAAACTTCTCACATTATTATTATCCGTATGAAATTAAAATTTAGAATTATTTACAGTTAAATGTTTTAATGTTAAACGATTAAAATGAGAGATTATTTCTTGAAAATCATTCCGTCATAATTTTAACAATTGTGACAGTTTTAATTTAGCTTCAATATTGTAAAAATTGTTAACTTTCATCAAAATATAAAATTTAATTTCACTTTTTTTTCCTTTTAATTTTTTAGCAAGAAGGCAACAAATTACGTCATTTACGCATTATGCCTTCCAAATATTCATATAAACCACAAGCGACAACAGTTTTTGGTGAAACGAAAGTTTATAGTAAAGGACAGGTAAGAGTCGATTTTTCATGTTGGAATAAAAAAATTATTAAATTTATAATTGTTGAAGCATAAATTTATCATTTTGAATGATTGAAGTTAATATATTATGCAATCAGTAACTTCATTTATTTATCAATTCATTGGTTTATTTCTCTTTTTTTCTACTCCCTTTTTAACAGTTTATTCATTTACTGAGTAATTTTTTAATTTATCCAATTATTAAGTTAAGATGTATCCAACATTTTTATCTATTCATTCTGTTATTTAGTTATGGCATATCTTTTGGGAATAATTTTTCCTTCTTCTTCAGATCCCTCTAGATCATTGGCCACTTAATGACTATCCTCCCAGCATCGAATCAGTTTCCGGGTTTTCTACGGTTACAAAAATGTCGACTGCTACTACGGTTAGTGATTAATTAATTAATGGAATGGCTATACAATTGAATTCTATGGTTCAGTTATTATATTTGAAAAATTTTTTTGGTGCATATATACCTTTTGCATGTTTTTTAATTTTAAATAACTATATTCGGATACATACCTTACAAATATTCTATAATTACTGATCAGTTATGGTGTAATTATTAACAGAATTAGTGATGAATTTTTCTTAAGTCACCTAATTCATGGCAAAATGATTGGAAGATGCAACCACGTCATGATGAATATGATCATCGTTTGACGGAAACGACGATACCAGATGTACGTGACACGCGTGCTCGTGGAGATGAAGAGTTTGCTATTCGATTTAACAAGGAACTCAGTAAACGGATTGATTTCGCTCTTGCGTAATTTTTGTTCCCTAATTTAATGTAATCCAGAAAAAGAAAATAACCATTTCATATCCGGAAAAGAAATGTTTGTAATTTTCATAATTATTGACTTTTTTTACTTTTCTTATTTTTAAAATAATTTAAAAAAAATGGAAATTGTCGATTTTTAGTGATATCGAAACAGTACTATCAACAACAATGCTGAATTATAAAATGGATCCACGTGTGGTAGCCGCTTGTGATATTGAAACCTTTCCGGCTATTCTGGATAGACATGGTGATATGACATGGCTTGAAAAAGTTGAATCATATATCAGTTCTATACTGATAAAGGATAATCCAACTGATGAGGAAAAAAAAAGATTTGAAAGTATTGCATGAAAATAATTATTGATAAATTTTTTTAGAAAAATTCTTTTTTTACTTTTAAAAAATTTTAAAAATTCTAGCTGAGAAAAAACATTGAAAGATTATTATACACCAATATACATCTAATAGTGTTAATTAACAGATTATTTATTCGATTGTATCATTTTCAAAGTTTAATTATCGATCGATTGACTAATTGTTCAAACTATCTAAGATACATAAAAATAGATTTTTTTTTCTTGTTGAGTGATGTACTTTAGTAATTTATGTCAATACATACAGTTTTGTTGATGAGAATAATGAAACAAATCCAAATGAAATTAGGAATTAAATTAGAAAAGTTAATTTGAGTTAAATTTCAATGTTTGATTAATGTTTAAAACATGAATTCTTTAATTTATTTTTAAATGATTTAACACGATAAACTGATTAAACAAAGCATAGTAATATGACGATGCTAATTACCTTTAATTATTTCTTTTATAAGCATTCAGTTAAAAATGTAAATTAATAATGATAATTATTAAAATATTGAGGTCTTGTATTACGCCAAACAACGTTATGAGCAAATATTATCAAAATATGATAGATATCCAGTAACAAAACCAACTGATAATCCTCAAGTTCGATAATTATTTTCTTTTTTCATTTTTTTATCATTAATTTTTTTCGGTTATAGATTCATTTATTGAAATTTCGAGAAAAATTTCGTAATGACGTTTATTTTTTTTGACAGTTGTTAACAAAATGAATCGAAGTTAAAATTAGATAAAATGTTTTTTTCTTTATTGGCTGGTGATATGATACTATTTGGGGAAAGAAATAATCTAATAAATATATTAGCTTATCATTGAACTTTATATATATATATATATATATATGGTATAGGATAGGATGATCGAATAATGAATTAATTTCGATGTGTAATCAATCGTTGAAATCTTAGTTGATATTTCATTTATTTTTTAGGGAGTAAAAATTAAAAAGTAATTCACAATTGGCGTCTTTTGTTGTTTTTTATGGTTTTGAAAACCATAATTTAAAATTGAAAATTTTGCAAAAAACATTTACTTTTTTTTTAGCAGAACAATGAAGAAGCATTATCATTTGGTATTCTACAAAGTGATCATACAACTGCGACACATTTATATATTAATGACAGCTGGCGACGGATTATTGATTCTAATTGTATTCCACCAAATGCTTTGCAAATTTTGAAATTATTGGTATTGCAGTATTTTCTTTTGTGCACGATATAAATATAACAACAAAGTATAAACTAGTGATGACTGTTCATTTTTATAAGACTTTTTTCTCAGAATTAAATTTTATTTGACTTTTTTTAAAATAATTAATTTGCAATTAGTAAGTTTGTCATAGTGGATTCCTTTTTTTGCATTTCAGGTCATTCCATTATGATCGAAAAAATTTTGATAAAACTAGTAAAAATGAAGTGGAAGTTGTAGGAATTTGGTTTTAATATATATATATATATATCTTTTTTTTCATTTTTTAATAATAAAGGATGAGCATTTTTCGAAAACTTCGACAGGGATAACATTTGACTTCGTGATGACTTCAAGAAAAAGTTTGAAGGAAGAAATTTTTTTAAGTTTTCCAGATAACTGATCGTGATGCATGGCTATTGGATTCTGATTTCTCCAATTTAGGATTGGTTGATCGCGCTGATCGTATTTCAATACCGCGTGTCATCGAAGTCTTTCATCATCATCCGGTGGATAACATCTCATTTTTTAAAATTCCAAAAGATATTTCAACAAAATTAAAATTGAAGACTAAGAAGTTTATATATGTGAAATAATTTTGCGTTAATCAACAATAAAGTTTATACAAGGTTTAATTATCATGTTAAAAGGTTTTTTTGGAATGATTTTTAAATGCTAGTATTTATTTTTCAGTATAACTTCACAAACGTTTGAATGAATGATTGCAGGGATTATTGTATTAATTATTTGCATGTTAAAATCAAAACTTGCAAACTGATTTTAACTTTCAAAGTGAAATAATCATTTCAGAAAGGTAATGGAATGAAGATTTTGGCCATAGGAACATTGATATTTGTTATTTTACTACTGGTGCTCTTCGCATTAGGCCTTATTGTCACACAAAATAAGGAAAATTTGGGTTATTGCCCATCAAATGTTATGGGCTTTGATCCTGAAAATCCACATCGTATGCTTTTCAAAAAAAACAAAAAGAATTAAGCAATTCTGTCTTTTTTTTTTTTTTGTCAAAAAAAGCAGCAGAATTGGTTAATTAATAATTAAATTAAGTGAAAGAATCTGATAGATGACACATATGACTTTATTTAAAATGTCCATTTAAAACTTTTTTTCTTTTATTTATGCAATTATATCATCATTTCGCAGAGGAACAGTTAGCCCTTGAATTTGATGTGAGATAAGAATTGATAAAAACAGTATAATTAATTAATAAAATTTGTGGAGTGGGATTGTTGAATAAGAATTTTTATGCCTTAAAGCTGATTGATTAGAGAAGCATTTAACTATATTTCTATTAGAAGAATAAAATTATCAATGCTTTTACAACATTTTCATTATGTTTTAATGAGATTTCAAAATGAAATGAACATTTTTAGAAAACATTTCGTCTTAATTAATAAATGAATTATTGCAGTTTTCCCGATATGCTTAGTTAATATATTAATATCTCCATATTTCCAGATTTTTACTAACCACGAGCGTTGCCACTAAAACTATACTTGATAATTGTCATTGTACTTCCACTGCTGATTTAAGTAGAATTAACTTATTAGTTATACAACAACAATGAATAAATAATAAAATTGCTATCGAAATAAGGAAAAAATTACATTTTTTGGATGGAAATATGCAATTTTTGTTTATTTCAGAAGTAAAATGGATGCAGGATTTACTGAAAATAAAAACGCCGACCAAATATGACAATTTGAATGTTTCAACTGCGCATTTCTTCTTATTAAAGGATTAAAAATATATGAAAGAGGGAAAGGATATATCAAATTTATTAAAATTAGTTTTAATATCAAGCCTTTTTTCATCATCATTAAATGGGCTATTGTTGAATAAATATCAAAAAAATTTTTAATGAAATGAATTTGCAAAAGAATGAGAAAAAACCGAAATCATATTAGCATAACGACACAAATCACAATTTTTGCCAATTGGCGGAAGAATTATGCAAAAAGATGTTAAATATCAGGAAAAAAAGGAATTAAATATCATCGCTAAAAAATTAACGCTAAAAATTTAAATATCTGCACCAAAAAATTTAAATGTCACACTAAAAATTTGAAAAAGGAAAGCTCAAAAAGACTTTTCGGCATTATTACCAAGGTTTCGCTTATTTTAATGTATGCGTCGTAATATTTCAATCACCAAAAAACGTCAAGAATAAGATACTTTCACCAAAAATTAGATTTCAATGCTAAAAAAATTACATACCTGTGCTAAAAAATTAAATATAAATTAAGTATATAAAAATTGAATAACATCGACAAAAAAGAAGGTCAAAAAATTAAATATTATTACTAAAAAAAAGCAGATTTTGCGGCATTGCTATCAAATCCCACCTTATTTTAATACATATATGATAATATTTCAGTTCTCAATATTAAGTTATTAAAGATAAGACGTTGTGGAAAGTGCAACGTTACTATATTTTAAATTAGAATTTGCTAGAAGCTATTGACCATTAATTTAACGCACAAAAGTCAAAAGCCTGCCCGAGGTGAGGTTCGAACTCACGACCTTCAGATTATGAGACTGACGCGCTAACCAACTGCGCTACTCAGGCCTGCTGTAGATGCACCAACTTACGAATTTTTTTTTTCGAATTGAATTTGAAAATGTTGTCATCGATGGATTGAAGTTAACATCGCTACAAAATGCGAACATTTTAACTTCAATTCATCGACGATGACATTTCCATTTTGTTATTTTTGATATTTTAATTTTATGATACTATCTTGTTTCGTTTTTTGTTTTCTTCAAGCATAAAGGCTTTGTTATACGTTAAAACTGTCAGTTTTACAGTTTCTTTTTTTGGTTTTTTATGACGTATTTTGTAGTCGTTAAGCTTTATCGATATGCTATCTTTTGTAGTTGTCCATGTCATCTCTTACATTTACCTAGACCTTTCTATGGCACTCCATCTTTTGCAATTTTAATAATACTCTTTTTTTCATTCGATAACTTTTTCTTCTTTTAAAAGATCAGTTTTGTCTATTTCATAATTAATAGGCTCATTATTGGTGCGAAATTTCAATGCTATGTAATTACTTGTATAAGTTGTGACAATTAAAAGAAAGGGAATTAAGAAGATGAGGGAGATTGTTCGTTGTGAAAGCTGTTAAATTTTAAAGAAATGACTTACAATGTATCCTTTATTATCGTCTGGATACCAAATAGAGTGAAGATAGGTTCAAATAATCCCAATTACAATAGAATGACTTCCAGGGTAAAACCAGTAGAATAATGAGAGATTTTGTGAGGATTAGTAGATTGGGAGAGATAGAGGAGAGCATTTGTGTGAACCTGAGTGTCGACAGATGGGTTTTTGGCAACAATGAATGAATCTTAGGATTCCTTATGTTTATATATGGAGTGTGTAAGGAGAAACAATCATAACAAGTTAACGTATACTCACAGCTACCAGAGAAATTAGCCATATATATATTAACTTATATTAAGTGGTTTCAATCACAATATACTTTGTTTGGAGAAAGGAAAGAAACACAATAATTAACAGAAATCTAGAGATAAACGTGTTTATAAGATTAGATGT